CGGAGCCCATGTGCTGCTTGTACCCAGGTGCCCGAACACATGTGGCACCTGTATCTCCCCTCTTGAGATGTGGACTTTCATGCCTCCATGTCTAACACTGGAGTATATGTAGGGGCTCTCTCCGTCTTTGGAGAAGCCTGTGTTCTCTCTTGAGCATGTTACTCTCTCTTACTTTCTCTCCCTACTTCTGCTTCCTAAAAACCTCCAAATAAAATGTTTTACTTCAAACAAAAAGAAAAAGGGGAAGAAACTGCCAGTTCTGAAGCAGCCAAGAGGCATGAAGATATATGAAGATACCCCTTCGAGCTATTTGGAGATAGAGAAACTGAAGCACAACCCAGCTGCAGAATTGCCAGACCCCACCGAGAAAAGGGTGGGCCCCATCCAGAAAAGGAGAAGCTACAGAAGAATCTAAAGGTCATGATAAAATGGCTTTGAGTGCAAGGCTTTCCCTGTGACATGGGTTAACTGTGATATATGCAGAGACTTCCAGGCCAAAACCATTTAGAGGAGTTGAATATAACCTCCCCAAAGCTATTTGAGACACCTCTCTCTTTTCCTCTCTCTCCTCCCTCCTTCCTTCTCTTCCTCTCTATCCCTCTCATTGCCCCTCTCCTATATCAGCTTCAATAAAAATCTATTTTGCTTCATACATAGAAATATATAATTTTGCTAAATGCTTAGCTTTGGGATAAGTTATTAGGATTGTGAAACTCAAATATTGGGTAAAAGGAAAATTAATATTTTCTTTAACCATTAACTAATCATTTCAAATGTCAAATGACAGATTCATTTATATGCCATATTTGTAATAACACTCAGTACTGATAATCCCTTTTACATATGTAATTTGTGTATTTTGATAGTATATGTCTATATATATTTATATATGTAAAAAAGAATATTCTTTATTTTTCTCCTAAAGATAAAAAAAACACAAGAAAGGAAAGCATGTTGTAGAAAAATTATAAAATACTGAGAAGTAGGAGCCAGAGTGATAGTACAGTGGGCAGAGTATTTGTTTAACATACGGCCAAACCGGGTGCAATCCCTTGGCATCCCAAACTCTGCCAGGAGTGATGCCTGAATGCAGAGCCAGGAGTAAGCCCTGAGCACCTCTAAGTGTTGCCCAAACTGTCTCCCCACCCCAAAACTGAGGATTAACCAAAGTCATTCTACTGTTCAAGGTAACAATAGATAATACTTTGCTAATCTTTTTAAAAGTAACAGAGAGGCTGGAGCTATAGTGTGGCAGATAGGGTGTTTGCCTTGCTCATGGCCAACCCAGTTTTGATCCCCAGGAGTAATTCTGAGTGCAGAGGCAGGAGTCACCTTAAACCATAAATAAACAAAATAACGGACACACGTATGTGACTTAGATCGTCATATATACAAAAATACTTTAAAAGTCTAAGTACTTACTTTTACATGCAGAAACTACTTTGAAATTAGTGACTTAATTCCAAGACGCTAAATCAACATTTTTCAAGTCACGAAAGAAGTGACTTGCTTAAAAGGATCAAATGATAGTCTGTAACCTATAGACTATAATCTGTAGCCTATATAAATTACACAGATTATATTAATAATATATCATATAAAATATGTAACAGCCAGAAACTGATGTTAATGAAGACTGTATCTAAGATTTATTGTCTATACAGATAGGTACCACCTTTATGAACAAGACAGAAGAAAAATGGCAGAGTAAGCAGGACTCAATTTCAGGCTCTAATCCTAAGCAAGTATATGACCCTGGATAAGATACTGAAGGTTTTCAAGAGCCTGGCTACCTCTTTTATGAAAGAGAAGTAATATGTACCTTAGAAGGACTTTTTAAAAAATGATGTAGAGGCCGGAGTGATAGTACAGTGACTACGGTGTTTGCCTTGCATGCAGCCAACCTGGGTTCGATCCCTGGCATCCCATATAGTCCCCCAAGCACGCCAGGAGGAATTCCTGAGTGCAGAGCCAGGAATAATCCCTGAGCATCATTGGGTATGACCCAAAAAAGCAAAAAAAAAAAAACCCCAAAAAAGCAAAAAAAAAAAAAACCCAAAAAAGCAAAAAAAAAAAAAAAAAACCCCCAAAAAACCAAAAAAACCCCAATAAAAACCCAAAAGAATGATTTAATGTCCAACACATAACATCACAATACATGAGTTAAATTTATTATCATTGTTACGTTGATCAAATTATATTGATAATAATTCTTAGCACAGCGGGTAAGGCATTTGCCTTGCACATGGCTGATAGGGCTGACCCCAATTCGATTCCTCCATCCCTCTCGGAGATCCCAGCGAGCTACTGAGAGTATATCGCCCACACGGCAAAGCCTGGTAAGCTCCCTGTGACGTATTCAATATGCCAAAAACAGTAACAACAAGTCTCACAATTTGTTGTGAGACGTTACTGGTGCCCACTCGAGCAAATTGATGAACAACGGGAGGACAGTGGGTGACAGTGAGTATTAAGACTAATAATTATTCTTGAATAAAATATTATTCTAGCCTGCCAAGCTCCCTGTGGTGTATTCGATATACCAAAAACTGTAACAATAACAGGTCTCATTCCCCTGACCCTGAAAGAGCCTCCAATATGGCAGCCTTGGGAAAGATGAGTAAGGAGAGGCTGCTAAAATCTCAGGGCTGGAACTAATGAAAACGTTACTGGTGCCCGCTTGAGTAAATCGATGAACAACAGGATGACAGTGATATAGTGATGTTGATCAAATTATACTGATAATAATTCTTAACAGTGACTAAAGTGATTGAATCAGTCAGAAATAGTTTAAGAATTCAATGATACAACTCAATACAAAGAATTTTTTAAAAATGGGCAAGGACCTGAAATAGGTAGTTCTTTTTCCCAAAAATGAGTGACAGGTATATGGAAAGATGCTCAACATCAGGAAATGCAAATCAAAACCTCAATGAAGTATCACTCTATAACTATTAAGACAGCTTTTGTCAAAAATGACAAAAATGTTAGCAATGTTAACGGACATGTAAACTGATACATCCATTATGGAAAAATGGTATGGAGGTTCCTCAAAATAGTAACAAAATTATCATCTATCTGATCTAGTAATCTCTTTGAGTATATATCCCCAGCAATCAAAATCAGTATTCCTAAGAGACATCAGTGCTCCACATCACTGCAGCATTATTCATAACGGTCAAGATTCAGCAACACACACACACACACACACACACACACACACACACACACACACACACAAAGATTCAGCAACAATCTAGGCATCTGCTGAATGATGAACTGGAAAAAGAATCTGTGGAACACACATTACATGCAGACACATAAAAATAGAACTATTCAACTACAACAAAGAAATTCTACCACTTGTGACAATAGGGACAGACTTAGAGAGCATTTTGCTGGATGAAATAAATCAGAACGGAGAGAAGTACTCTATGATTTCACTTGTATATGAAATCTGAAAAAAATGTCAAACTCGCTGAAACAGTAGAATAGTAGTGACTAGAGGTTAATCACCTCTGGAGGGGGAAAGGGAAGATGATGCTGATCAAAGGGAACAAACTTTCAGTAATAAGAGTAACATTTTGTCAAAACAATGGTAACTTCAATTAACACTGTATTCTACACTTGAATTCTGCCTAGAAATCTTAAGCATTTTTACCATACGTACACATACACACATAAAAACAGTAGCATGTAAGATGGTGATATACAAATTAGCCTTGCTATAAAAATCATTCCACAATGTGTATCTGTATCAAATCATCACTATCACTATCACCCCGTTGTTCATCGATTTGCTCGAGCGTGCCCAGTAACGTCTCCATTTGTCCCTGTCATGTGCTAGTGTAGCCCGATGACATAATGGGGGCTCTTTCAGAGTCAGGGGAATGAGGACCATCATTGTTACTGTTTTTGGCATATCGAGCACGCCACGGGGAGCTTGCCAGGCTCTGCCGTGTGGGCGGGATACTCTTGGTAGCTGGCTGGGCTCTCTGAGAGGGATGGAGGCTTTTGGGACAGCCTCTAATCACCTTTACAGGTGTTCCCAATCAGGCATATATGCGGGTATAATACTCTCAGGAGACTGCCGGGTTCTCTGAGAGCAAGGATTAAAGAATAAGAGTAAGAATAAAATCATAACATTACATAATTTAAATACATACAATTTTGTTAATCAGACCTCAATAAAATTGGGTAGAGGGAAGAAGTCAGTTGATGTAAAATTTGAGAGGGGGGAATGGTGAGTCAGTACAGTGAGCAGACCTGGGTTCAATCACTGGCACCCCATACTGGTCCCTGAGCATCTCAGGAGTAATCCCTGAGCACAAAGCCAAGAGTAAGCCCTGAGCATAGCTGGGTGTGGTCCAACCCTCCTCTCCAAATTTTTTTTTTGAGAGGAATCTGGGCCAGAGAGATTGTATAGCAGGTAAGATACTTGTCTTGCAAATGGCTGACTCAGATTCAATCCCTGGCCCCATATATGGTACCCTGGATACCAATAGGAGTGATCTTTGAGCACAGAGCCAGGAGTAAAGCATAAACTCCAATGGATGTGACCTCTGCCTCTCTCCCAAGAAAAAAAAGATTCGAAAAAAGTGGCATTTTCTATCTCCAAATTAGCTCTCACAAAACTAGGGTACTTTAAAAACTGGAATATAAATATGCTTACATAAGCGTAGGACTTTTTCTTCTTAATTTTTTTGACTTTTTGGATCACAGTCGGCCATGCTCAGGGGTTACTCCTGGCACTCAGAAATAACTCCTGGCAGTACTCAGGCAAACATATGGGATGCCGGGGATCGAACTCGGATCGGCCACATGTAAGGCAAACATTCTACCTGATGTACTATCACTCTGGCCCCTGCTTAGGACTTCTGTACTAGTACATTTATTCTTGAGGAAATGAAGAAAAAGATAGGTAAAAATATCTGTTTAACTCAGCTGATGTTTCTTATTTGAAAAATTTGTCTTTTGCAGAACAAATAACTCACATGATTTTAGCATTATTTTCCCCCCCACTACTACAAATTATGCAGTTGGTTTCCCTCATTTTGGGGAACTGCAGGGGTCAGCACATGCAGAGTGCAATGGATAAGCCTCGCCCTGAGAAAATCACCTTCGTGATCATGGTATCTCCACTGCCAGGTAAATATTAGGCATTATTTTTATGACATGTATCTCAGAAGATAAACACTTTGTATAAATGAATACTAATAGAATAGTATTTGTTCTAGTCTAGACAGTTATTTTAAATTTTCTTTTTCTACTATCTTACCTGAATTTTAAGGATAAGAGGTATTATCATATGCATTTTTGTACTTTCATTCTGTATATTCTATAGTTTCCACTTAGTAATTATTGATTGATTAAAGAGTTTAGAGAAACCAACACTCCCAGAAGAATTTAATTCCCAAGAAAATTTTTAAAAAGGTGAACTAATCCAGGGCTTTACTAGTTATTAAAAATAGCAGGTTCTGAATTACTTAAGCAGTTGTGAAATAATGGTTCCACTTCCGACTCATCAAGATGATGGGTTAAGGATACAAAAGGGAAAGTTTAAGTGTGTGTAGGTCTGGTAGTGCATCTCTGTATCTAAATAAATTCAGAAGTATGCAGAAAATGTTTTAAAATCAACAGTTTTAACGTTCTTCAAGCCCTTTAACAGAACAAATAGAAAAGTGTGCTCTGAGAAGAGTGGAAGACATGGTCACTTAGAACAGAACAATTGCTCAAATTCCCTCAGAAAGATTAAAAAAAAAAAAGAAAACCTAGAGAACCAAGAAAGTTCAGCTTACCTCTCTCTTTACAAAGGACAAAAAGAAATTCAGCAGCGATCTGCTTGACTCCGAGGTCAACATGTGTCATGAGGCGCACCAGCTTATTTCTCACAGTTGAGCCGACTTCAGGTCGATTTGTCACGTCCCTCAACGGCGGTAAAACCTAACGACACAAATGCAAATGCCTTCATTAACTGCAAATGTTAGAAGCAGCAAGGAATGTACCAACTGGTCAGTGTTATGTCTGCCGAGGTCAACTTTGGAAGAATGTGGGGGGGAAAAAGTTAAAATAAATGTCTTGGCTTTCTAACCTAACAACAACCTCAAATAATTTTATGTCTATAATGGATTTAATTTGAAGAGAAACATCTCTTCACTGCACCACCATGTTATATTCAAATTTATTTTCAAGTTTTCACTCAGCTCAGCACCTCTGTTGACTCTACCAAATTTATTTCTGGAATGGGTAGGCCATATCCGGTGGTGCTCAGTGCCAGGAACTCACATGGGCCAACTGTGTACAAGGCACATTCCTTAACTTCTGTACAATTTCACTATCCCCTCTATCAAAGTTCATTTAAAAGTCCGGGTCAAGTTTCTCTTTCTTCCAAAGATACTTCCTGATGCATACTGATGTTTACAGTAGCATTTTCAGTGTTCATTACAAAAATATGTACTGATGTTTTCTAGTTGTTTTAGTTTGTAATAAAACAGCTATTATTTATTGAGTACTTATGTGCCAGTTGCTATGAAAGATGATAAAACAAATATTCTCTATGATCAATTTCCACTGCACTGTTCTCTTCCAGGAGCTGCCCCCGCGCCTGGCTGTCCTCGCCGGGGCCCCTTGGAAGGGAGCGGGTTGAGCTTTCCTCCCCGCCCTGACCAGGGCTCCGGCAGCCAAAGACCTCCAGGACCAGCCACCACCATGCTGAGACCACTCTCCGTACACATGAAGGTACTGGCAGAGGGACAAAGTCACGTGGGTTCCGGGGCCGAGATCTCCAAGCCTACTCGGATTGGAGTCGAGCATCCTCCACCCAGATCCTCCAAATTCCAGTAGGCGGGGGTCACACCCACCAACTGGCCCCCTGGCGCCATGTAATCCCAGCAACGGCCAAGACTCAGAGACTATAAAAACCAGCTCCCAGAACCGCACGGGACATCTTATGACATCTTATTATCTCATTCCTACTTTGGACAAACTGGCAGGCTATCGAATGTAGCCTGCCCACACGGCAGAGTCTGGCAAACTCCCTGTAGCGTACCCAATATGCCAAATACCAGTAACAATGATGGGTCTCATTCTCCTAAAGAGCCTTGAATATAATCTCAGGTCTAGGATGGAGACGTTACTGGGGCCTGCTCGAGGCAATCGACGAATAACAGGATGATTTGTGATTTGTGGTCAATTTCCACAGTAATTTTGTTAAGGAAGCAGTAACACCACCATTCTGGGATGATTATGGACTGGTCATCAGAGGGTTTACCTAGCTTGTTTGCTTTACCCATCCATTCTTTCATTCACTCACTCATTCACCCAGACAATTCTTCCTGGGTTGGCCCCATGCAAGGCAAGCACCCTACCCGCTATATTAATGCTTCAGACTCTCTTTTCTTGTTTTCAACCATTGTGCTCTGGAGAAACTTTACTTCACTGCTTTTACTCATTCTGTTGGTAGGTCTTCTAAGCTTTATAAGCTCTTGAAATTCTCATAAATTTCTGAAATTATATTTTCGAATATACTTCTTCCCTGACTTTCAGACTTTTATAGGACTCTGAAAGTTAGCATGTCATAAACAGAACTCACTATACTCCCACCAAAGCCATTCTTTCTATTATTTCCATCTTATTAAGTGGTAAGTCTGTTATTCCAGCTGTTTAATACATAATCCTTGAAAATACTCTTGGCTTGCCTCTTTTACGATTCACACTCAGAGTACCTGAGAAATAAGATCTTAAGTGTTCTTATGATACACATATATAAATATAAAGAAAGGTAATTCAGAAACAATTAGTTTGGTTCTACCTCAGAAACATATTAGTAATTCAGCAATTTCTCACTAACAATGTGACCACATCCAATACATCTTGCCTCACTGGACATTCTCCTAATTGACCCTAGCATCTAGCATAGTCATTCTATGATTTATTCTCTACGTCCCTTAAAAATCAGAGGCGAGGGTCTCCCACTAGCAGACTACCAAGGAGTCAGGGGGAGAAGCAGATTCCTTGATGACTCCGGGCCAGGCTGTTTTTACTGTTTTTACTCGGGGCGCCCCAGAGTGTGGTGGGTGAGAGCTCTCCACGCCCCAAGGGACCCAGCCCTGGCAGCTAACCTCCACTACCCAACTGCTGCCACACTTCAGGCCACTTCCCTGACCTCGTGGCCACTTTGTGGCTGCACGACACATCATAAGACACTTCCTACCCATTTTCCATAATTACCACACCATATTTGATGGGGTTCAGACAGTAGGCAACAAAATCATAGAGAGAACTCTCTCTCTATATATAAAATGTATATATATTGTGTGTGTGTGTGTGTGTGTGTATGTATGTATATATACCTCTCAGAGAGCCCGGCAAGCTACCAAGAGTATCCCACCCGCCTGGGCAGAGCCTGGCAAGCTCCCCATGGTGTATTTGATATGCCAAAAACAGTAACGATAGCAGATCTCATTCTCCTGACCCTGAAAGAGCCTCTAATCATTGGGAAAGATGAGTAAGGAGAGGCTGCTAAAATCTCAGGCTGGGAGGAATAGAGACGTTACTAGCGCCCACTCAAGTAAATTGAGTAACAACGGGATGACAGTGATACAGGGATACAGTGATCCCTTAAAATCAGATCCTGTTGGGACTGGAGCACAGTGGGTAGGGCATTTTTCTAGCACGTGGCCAACCCGGGTTTGATTCCCATCATCCCGTATGGTCCCCTGAGCACCGCCAGTGGTAATTCCTGAGTTCAGAACCAGGAGTAAACCCCGTGAATTGCCAGATGTGACCCAAAAAGCCAAAAAAAAAAAAAAAACCCCAAACAACAACAACAACAACAAAAAATCAGATCCTGTCAATCCTCTTCTCAATGTTTAACAGTTTCTATGGTTTCTCATCTTCTCACTCATTGTAAGAGACAAAGGTCTTACAACTCCCGTAGGTTCTACAGTCTAGCTTCTCTGCTGCTCCATTTCTACTTCACTGCTAGTTAGATTGCTAAAGCCACACAGATCTTCATGGAATGCCTTTTAAAATCATGGAAATCATTTAAAAACTTGATGAAACATGCGACATTCTTGTCTCGTGATCTTTGTATTTGCCTGTCTCCCTGCCCCAAACCTCTTTTTTTAGAAACTTGCAGGTTTCATTTTCTTTCTTCAGGTCTTTTTTGTTCAGATGTCCCTGACAGGAAGTCATTCACTGACCACAATATTACTCAACCTCAGCATTCTTTTCTTTTTTTTTTCTCCTCAGCATTATTCTTTACACCCTCTTCCCCCATCCCTGCCTGTGTCTTAATCTTTCTCAGAGTACTTATCACCATTTTGCCCAGTATATATTTACCCTTTTATTACAAGAACGTAGAAAACTCAAATCTGTTTTGTTTACTAATCAGGGTTCAGCATACTACAAATATTCAGTAAAGTACAGCTGACTGAAGAAAGAATGAATTAACTCAATTAATTTTTTTTTTTTTTGGGTCACACCAGTGGGTTACTCATGCACTCAGAAATTACTCCTGGTGATGCTCGGGGGACCATATGGGATGCTGGGAATCGAACCCAGGTCTGCTGCGTGCTAGGCAAACACCCTACCCGCTGTGCTATCGCTCCAGCCCCAACTCAAGTAATTTTTAAGTGACTTTTACAAGCTAGGAACTATGCTAGAAATGAAGTTAGAAACTAAGTAAAAAATGCTTGCTGTGTACATAAATGAAAATTAACTCTCAGAAAACTGAGTAAGCTACACATAGTATTTGCAAAATCCACATTTCAATATATTTGGTAGGGAAAACCACAGTGTAATACAAAGTAATTTCACAATAAATTCTTATTATTTGGGTCAGCTAACCATAAGTTATCTCATTTGACTAGAAGAATGACACATGTGAAAATGTGATTTTGCTAGTTGTTTTGGGTTCCTTACAACAAGTTTTCTAGGATCTAGAAACACAGTATGGAAAGTAAGAAGCTTGCCTTGCATCTAGACAACCTGGGTTCAATATCTGGCACCACATATGGTCCCCTGAGCACAGAGCAAGGAGTAAGTCCTGAATATAGCCAAATGTGGTGTAAGGAAAGAAACAAAAAGTTTCTAAATAAAATTTTGTTGCTGCTATTGCTATTATATAGCACTTTCAGACAAAGTACAGATGCATGGAACCTTACTATTCCTCCATCTCCAATACATACATATTTTCTTTTTCAGAAAAATCTTGCATAATTTTTCAAATCCCTAGAATCATCATCTCTAAGTTTCTCCAGATCAACTCATCTGGGTCAGCAACTGTTCTCATCTGTTCTTCTCTGCCTGTCCAAATAAAAATACTCACAACCAATTTCCTTTGGCTATGAGTTGGATTTAGTCAAGTATTCATTGTAAGGTATAATCAAAGTTAATCATCTGTTTAAGTTCTGCCTTTCTAGATAGTTATAGTCCACAGTGCATCCTTCAGAGGGAAAGCTGATTTTTGCAGTTAGCCCTGCATTCTGTAATATATAACTCTTTACCTATACTGCAGTGTTTCTTTGAGGACAGGGAGTAAGTCTTAATAACCTTTTGCTTCTACAAAATGTGTGGTCAGAGTTTTCACAAAATGGTGAATTTCAGGGGACTCTCTTGTGTCCTTTATATAATAAAAGCCAAAACACAAATTCTATTTATTATTCTTTACCAAGTCCTTGTAATCTGTATCTGTCAATTAAGGGTTCATATTGTTTAAATAATTGTCATGCTTTCACTTTTTTTTTCCATTTTTTTTTTTTTTACAAGACAGACTAAACTATGAGATTTATACAATCTGAAGAGGAACCTGAGTACTCTTCTATGTTAGAGTCTCAACTTCTTTTGGCAAGGGGATCTCCAAGAACTGCTCTGGAGGTCCAGGGGTGGGGAGCAGTGCTGCTGGCTGTGTGCTAGGCAAGCACTTGAACCCTATATTAGCTTTCTGGCCCCAGGTCCTACTTTCTAGTCTCCCCCTACCAGCAGTCCAATAATGTGCTTGACATATTTAAGTACTTACTAAATCTGGACCACAAAAAGAAGGGAAAAAATTGAACCCTGTTAATTTATTAGGGAATTTTTTTTTTTTTTCTTTTTGGGTCACACCCAGTGATGCACAGGGGTTACTCCTGTCTTTGCACTCAAGAATTACTCCTGGCGGTGCTCAGGGGACCATATGGGATGCTGGGAATTGAACCCTGGTCAGCTGCCTCCAAGGCAAGCGCCCCACCAGCTGTACTATCGCTCTAGCCTCTATTAGGGAAAATTCTTATCAATAAATGGACAATGGGGTGAATGACGGTAACATGTATTGAAATGTAGAAAGGAGGAGAAGAAATACGTTGGTGGAATAAGTAATCAAGAAATGGGACTGGGGGAGAAAATAGTGTAAATATTAGGATATGTGGCTTGCATATGACTTACCCAGGTTCATTCCAAGCACCACACAATCCTCAGAGAATTGTCAAGTGTAGCCCTAGAAGCCCCCAAACACTCCTGGGATAACCCTGGCAGCACTCAAGCAGCAATCTGTCTCTGGCCCTTATAGTAAACCTATGCAGCCAGGTCCTGAGAATGGTCCAGGGGCTGTTCTCTGGGAAAACCCACCTCCCTTTAGAAAAGAGGAGATAGACACACACACACACACACACACACACACACACACACACACACACACACAGAGAGAGAGAGAGAGAGAGAAAGACAGTGAGAGAGACAGAGACAGAGAGAGAGACGGAGAGAGGGAGGGTGGGAGGAAGAGAAAGAGAGAAAGAGAGATTAGCTTGAAATATGTTAAACTAAAGATACCTATTACATCTCCAAGGGGAGCAGATGAGTGTAAGGGGAGCAGATGAGTATAAGGCCGTTAAGCCCAAGAGTTTAGTGGTAAGTGCTAAATATATACACTTAAGAGTCATCTACATATAAATGACTTTCAAAACAATGACTACAGAGATCACCAAATAACTAAATATGGAGATAAAGCAAAAATGCCTTGGGTCACTCAAACACTGCACTCCCTATGTCTTAGAAACCAAATGAACAAAGTATTTCATGGAAGAAATATTTAATAAATCAATATGCTTTTGGAAGGAAACTTGACCACTATTAGATTTAGCAATATTGGAATGAGACCTGCAGTGGAGAGACAGAAAACATAAAATCTTAATACGTGGGGTTTCGGAGTGAATGAATATAGAAAACACTCTAAGGAACACTACATAAGGAAAAGCAGCGAAATGGAAGGCAACATGAGACATGGAATTTAAGTATCTGTTTTGTTGTTTTTAACATGAAAGATGTTTTTAGACAGAAATGATCCAGAACATTAAAAAACAAAAATCAAAAAAAACAAAAAAAGTAATCTAAGAATAAAGAGAAGGAATAAATGTAGAGCAGAAGTTTTTGAGAAGTTGAAAGGGAAACAGATCCAGGACACAAATGTGGTGGCTGGCCACAGAAATAATAATAAGCAGAGACAAATTCATGCACGGCAATTAACAAAAATATAGCAGTACATACGCTTACAATTGTACATGCAGTGGTGGAAAGATGGAGTTTCTTTTAATTTATCCTAAACTCTTAAATCTTTCCATTCTACTTCAGCTCTTCATCATCAGCTCTCTCTTAGAGTGGCCTGCCTGTATCTACTCACAATCCTCTTACCTAATCCCGCAAATTGCAGCTTTCATGTCTTTAAATATAAATGAGATCAGTGCCCTTCTTAAAATGGACCAATGTGGGGATGGTCCAATAGTACAGCGAGTAGAGCACTAGCCCTGCACAAGGCAGAACCAGGTTCAATCCCTGGCACCCCATATGGTTCCCTCAAGCTCTGGCAGGAGTAATTTCTGAGCATTGGCAGATAGGGCCCCAAAACAAGGGGGAAAGAAAAGGAATAAAAAGTGGACCAATACTGTTTCATCTCACTTAAAATCAAAAGTACCATGTATTCTGACGTAACTTGGTTCTTTGTACTTCCCTTACTTCATCTACTACTCTCCCCTTTGTGCTCTTTCTCTAGTTGACTATTCCTTAAGCTATACAAAAACATCACCTTATTTTTTTTGGGGGGTGGGGCCCACACCCAGCATTGCTCTAGGGTTACTCCTGATGAAATTATTCCTAGTGGGGCTCGGGAGACCACATAGGATGCCAGGGATAGAACCAGGGCAGTCACGTGCAAGGCAAACCCCTACCCGCTGTACTATCTCTCTGGCCCCAGAATCACGACATCTTAAGGGACTTTTGCTCTCTTTGGTGTACAAAACTTCCAGACGGTCTCTGATCCTTTTTTTTGTTTTATTCAAGATGTTGCTCAAATGTCATTTCTCAGAGAGGCCCTTCACAATTCTCTCAAGTCTTGCATATCTTTCCATATTGTTCTTGATAATATTCATCACTGCTTGTCATATTATATTTGTTTACTTTTTGCCCTCCTCCTTACTATAAAGCAAACTCCACAAAATGAAGACTTCACCTTTTAATCCTTTTAATGCTTAGAAAGGTACTTAACACAATACATAGTAGATAATACGTATTTTTGAACAAATGATTTAAAAATAAACAGGCTCATTTTTATCTCTTGATTAGAAAGATGTCAAAACTAAACTAACTTTTCTGACTTTCTAAAAAAATTTTTAGGGGAAAGAATTCAACTCATTTTATGTTAAAACACATACACACCAAACACTACATCTAAGATTAACTTCAAGGTATAAAATGAACTGAGCAGTTACCTGATCTTTGAGAAATTTTCTGATGTTTCGATGGGCTCGGGAACATTCTGTTAATAAGCTGAGAACTGGAGTTAGACCCTCTCTATAGCTGCTTCCCTAGAAAAAAAGGCATACACACTACATTAGTTAAGTTTCTTAATAGTCTTACTTCCTACCACATAACTGAGCATATTTAAATTCTCTTTCTGAGGAAGAGACATCTTAAACTATCAAAACTGTCCAAATTAGAGGGCATCTTTTTGGTGGTAGGATGGCACGAGAGCTTTGGTGGTAGATGCTGTGAATCTTAAACACATACAGAAATATTAAATTATCCCCTTGAAATTCTGTAATATTGGAAATGAACAATAAATGAATTGAAAAAGGGAAAATTATTTCCTACTCCCATTTTATTATCTTTTGATTTACTAATACCCATTTTTATCTTTCCTAGATTTCCCCCTACATTTTCTAGGTTAATGGATTTTGATGAGGGAAAAGTTTGGATAACCCATCCATACTACCTTTCTTCCTTTTGTTATAGTTACCTGACAAATCATGTGACAAACCAGATTAAGTAGCTCACAATAAATGGAAAGCTCTAATTTTAATAAAGATATGTCTGATATAATGTAGTATTTTTAAGTATGTACAATGAAGTCTTTTTGGGGATAACTTTAAGACTTATAAAAGAGTACACAAAAAGTAATTATTTTTCCTGTTTTTAGGAACCAGTCATAATTTTGGTGTTGTATCAATACAAATTCACTTGGTTTTAGCAATCTATCATATATTACAATAATAAAAATGCTTTCTAGACTACAAACAATAATGAAAGATACCAGCTATATACAAAGCCTCAATTTAAAAAAAAAAACACACCTGTGATGCTTATATAGAACATTTATATTCATTAAAGCCTCTTCCCAAGATCTCCATTTTATCAGCCTTACCTTGTCTATTCTTTTCTCCATAAAACTGAGTAAAACATGAATGGCCTCCATATTCATACCATTGTATACCATGGTATTGTTTTTCAAAACTGTTTCTTTCTCATCTGTTTTATCACTGGGTATTTCATCTAAAGTCGTTGCCTCTTGTGCAGTTTCTTCATGGGTTAATGGACAAATGAGAACATCCAAACAAGAGACTGGAACATTGCTTAAAAGGTTGACTGCATTGCTGGAAAGCAATTTAAAAATACAGTATTTCAATTTGATTGAATAGTCCTTTAAAATGCAAAGATAATAAGTTCAGAAGCGACTTTCAGGAGTCAATTAAAATTTTTCATTTTCAAAACGAACCATTAATGCCACTTAGTATTTTACTAAGAGATAGAAAATAAAGAACTGTTTCAAATACACATAAGACAAATTATAATGAACAGATGTTAAATAGGCACATAATCACATAATGCCATGTCACTTTTTGAAATGGCTAAAATAGGAATTAGTAAGCTTTAACACCAGCTCTTCATTTTTATTATTATACAATACTAGCCCTGCTTTTCTCCCCTTGGGGTTTTAAATCCTTTTGTGTATCTACTGGTGTTTTATTATTCCTTAGATTATAATATGAAACACCGAGAAGCATTGTATATAAGCAGCTTATATAGATGCAACAATACTAGAAATCGAATATTGTAAGATGAAATTTTGTTCTTTGTAGATGTAGAAAATATAATTTTTGTATCATCCTGGTTTTGATTAAAACATTGATATACAATGTTTTTTTGGGGATTTTTTTTTTCTCCTCATTCTCTTATCACTAGGTTTCTTTGAAAGAAGTCAACACAGTGATTTTGAATTTCTGCCAGAGCTTTTGCTAGGTATTAATTAATGAGAACATGAGTCTGGGTACACCAGTAGGGGGAACCCAAACCATGTTATTTTTGGATTCTCTTTTGCTGTTGTTGCTGCTCAGTGTATAAAAGACCAAAATCACACTAACAAAAACTGAGAGTTCTTCAAGAGCTGGGGAAATAGATCAAAAGGCTGGAGCATATGCTCTGCATGCAGGAGTCCCAGGTTCAATCCCTCCTCCTGCGTGGTCCCCGGAGGGCCGCGGGGAGTGGCTCAGCATCCCTCCAATCCCCAATAGACATATTCACAAATATAATTTTTCCCCATGCAACATTTCATATTTCTTTCATCTGAAAGGAGAGGCTGTGCTGAGTTTTAAAAGCCTGTGCTTCAGAACTTCCTGATAAACAACAATGGAAAGACAGACATTACATTTCCTAGTGACAGAGAAGCAGAGCTAAAAATAACCACATCCTGACTAAAAATAAACTCCTGCAAATGCAATTTAAACGTCTAACCATTTGGAAACCAAATTCAGCGCTTAATCGGTGTGATGTCTTAATTTAGATACAGAAATTCCTTTTAATTTAGATTGTAATGAAACCTCAACAATAATACAAAATAGCAAAACAACTGTTTTCTGAAAAAACAATCACAATTTTCTTTTCTCTTTGAAGAGTGGTTCTACATTCTTTTTTTTTTAATATTATGGAAAAATTCATAAGAAATCCAAGTTTAAGAATTAGTGTGGAAGGGTGGTAAGATTAAAAAAAATAAAATAATTGGAAAAATCCTATCAATAAATGGGTCCTAATAAGTAAGAAGATTCTTTGATTGTATTCACTAAAAATCTACTGTTGTCTACTACTTCTGCTATGAATACTACAATGAATTTACTACTACCAAAAGAGTGATTATTATTACTATTACTTGTATATAATCACAATTTGGTTGAAACTTGAACATTTTGCAAATATCTGTAGATTCTTGTCTGTTGCTGATGTTTTCCTTGTGGTTTAAGCATTTGAAAATTACTACTGAATATGGATTCACTAAAAGACAAAGGGAAAAAAGCCAAAAATCTTAAAAATTATTTTCTAAAACTGTATAAATAGGATTTATTTTTTCCAATTCATGGGATTATGGGCTCTGGAGTCTATCCATAGCATGATTCTCTAAATCTACTATAGACCACACTAAGTAAGTTTAAGACCATTCATTTCATTATAGAGGAATGTCTCCCTGAAATTCATTTAAAATAAGTAGTTTCCAGGAACTTGGTAAATTTAAGAAACCAAACATCAAGTCTGATTCAACAAATATTTGGAGGTTTTAGGCTTTTCAAGAAAAGTTCCCATTTCCCTGTTCCTTATTAAACAACTGGGTTCCCAAACAACTACAAAATTAATTTTCTGGCTCACTGTGTTTGAGCTATTCTTTTTAAGTAAGGAAGGCCAGTTTTTTTGAGCTCTGTCACTTCTCTGACAGTTTTATTTGTGGTAGAAGAGTGTATGAAATTCTCCAGCTACCAGGAAGTCAGTGACTATGCACAGATCTGCACAATGGTGTTTGCATTCCTACTCCAGGGGGTAGAAATACTGTGTATATTACTCTCCCCTTTTCAGCTTCCTTGGGATCATTAATCACTGGGACATGACATCCTCCCACTCAGGCTCCCAGCCCCCTCCTGATATGCAGATTCAAAAGCAAGGCCTATTTAGAGCTCCTGAATGCCCTGATTAAAGTCCTATTCCCTTGTGGTAGAGGGAAGATAATCTAAAATATAGTTCTGTATCAGTTGCTGGATTAAATATAATACCAAATAACACTGAGGAGCATGAAAAGGCACATTAAAAAACCTGCACCTTTATATTAAAACAGCTTATATATATACACACATACATATTATATGTATGTGTGTATATATGAATGTATAAACACACACAGAATACATGGGGTTTTTTTCCCCATCGTAGAGAGATTAGTTAGTGGAAAGAAAATGAAACAAGTCAGCTAAATAGCTTTCTAAAAAGTGGTCAGTAATCTAAGGGGAAAACCCAGAAGGGAAAGAGAGTCAAGACATGCAGGTGAAATTTTGAATGGGGTGATTATGGCAGACCCCAATGAGTATGGGCGTATTTAAGCAAAGACTTACAGAAAGTTAGGGGGCGAGTCATGTGGAAAGGGTATTCAGACAGAGCAAGGGCAAAGTGCCCAGGCTAAGAGTAGTGGCAGATTGGAAGACTTACAAAGAGGTAGGTGTGGTGGGCCAAGTACTCACAGCGCAGTAGGGTATATCAGACAGGTAGCCAAAGGGTCTGATTGGTTCTGTCAGCTATTATGACTTTAGCTTTTATCTGGAGCAAAAGGTGAGTCCCTGCATGGCTTCGCACAGTGATACATTCTGTCTTATGTTAAAAAAGTCATTCTGGCTACTCTGGAAGATGCCAAAGTGAGAAGGACCAGTCAGGACTGTAACAAATGAGCAGAGTGCTAAGAGAGGAAAAAGTCAGATGCAGATACACTGTGAAAGATCTCCTGATCTCCTGACCAGTTATGGAGTGAGAATTTAAGATTTTTAGACTTGGAAAGTAGAACTCTGTAAGTGTCCAAAGCTGAAATGAGAAATACTGCTGGAAACACAGTCTTATCAAGGGGAAAACTGGTTTTAATTTGGGAAAAATTAGATTTGGGATATGTTATCAGATTTCCAAGTGGAAATGCTGGTCAGAAACTTAGCTATAACTTTAAAGTTTAGGGAGAGAAAGCTGGATTAGAGGTATAAACCAAAGAGTCTGCACATAGATAACAGTTAAAGATATTAGACTGAGTTAAGTAAGTAATTTACTGAGTCTCAAGTAAAGGCTTGGGTATGGACCAAAAAATTTATGAAGGCCAAGAGTTTGGGGTATTCTATCCAGAGCTAAGCAAAAGAAGACAGAATAACTTGTCAGGGTGGTATCCTGGAAGAAAGTACATGAGAAAGAATAGAGTGCTCACTTATGTCAAGTGATGTAAGACAGACAGATGAAGCAAGATGACAACTGACAAAGTACTCTCCCCAGTAATAGGCTGGCAGAAGAGTGAAACTGCCTGTTTCAAAAGAGAATAGCAGAAGCTCCAGATAGTTGCCACTTAGAGGAGTTTTAATGGCAGAGGACAAGAGAAGTCTAGAGAAGCAAGAGCTGAGGCAGTGTCAAGAAAACTTTGATTACGTTACAGAATGGAAAGGCCCCTGGCCGCAACTCTCAGCACAGTATATCCTTTTAACCCAGTGATCTGGTCATTGTTTTCTAAATGTGACAAACACATATTCCCACTTTTATACAGTCCTTATTTTTTCTTGACCAAAACATGCACATTCCTTAATGCTAGCTGAAACCTCACTTTGTTCTCAACCAATATTCACTATGCCTTACAGTAGGGGCTACAAACAAAAAATAAAAGCTAATACCTCTTTTTCTAAAAGAAGCCACCAAAGCACGATTTGGAGCAATGGGTTGAATTTTAGGTTGTCTCTTCAGGAAAAAAAAAATGCCTTGACCACACTACATGGCTCCTTCTGAGTGTTAGTATCTTTATCCCTAAAGTGAAAAGAGATAAATGTATTCCACTATTCCAATAACATTTATTTTTTGTTTTTCTTGGACCAAGAAAATATCATATCCAGGGCCTCAGACATCTAGAGAAAATACTTTCCTATGGTGCTACAGATATGGCCTCTCCCACCAGCTGATTGTAAGGATTACCAAAAATAAAAAGAAACAAAACAAAACACCAAAACCATGCAAAACTCTTCCAAGCACTTAGTAAGTGGCAAACTACTTTTGAACAGTAGACATATGACACTACAGGTGGTAAGAGAAAAACTCTAGAGAGATGACAGAATATGGCAACAGTGGGGAAGTGAAAACCTAACTGTAAAGCAAAGGACAAGGCCTCTGCACCGCTTTAGTTGACAGTGAGGTGAGAAGGTGCATATGTCCATACGTGAAGTGGGCTGGACTGTAATGGGGACTGCTGTGATGAGAAGGATACATGGCTAGATGTATTACCGAAGAACTTACACTAGAACTGTGCTGGCGAATGAAAAGAGAAGAGAGTAAAGTTATGGAAACAGCAAGTTACAAATCAGCAGTCTTGCAAACCCTGAAAATATAAAGATAATCTATTGGTGTGGGGAGAAATTTAAGTACTAAAATTACATTTATATGTAATAAATATACATATAAATGTATATGTACATTTACATATCTTCTAATTTTTTAATATATTTTTATTTAATTCATATATAGTTTAATAGTACATGTACCTAATGTATTAACATACATAGCAGTACATACATATGTAATTTATATGTAAAAAGATATATGAAGTAGC